GTGTGCGTGTGCGTGTGCGTGTGCGTGTGCGTGTGCGTGTGCGTGTGCGTGTGTGTGTGCGTGTGCGTGTGCGTGTGCGTGTGCGTGTGCGTGTGCGTGTGCGTGTGCGTGTGCGTGTGCGTGTGCGTGTGCGTGTGCGTGGGTGTGTGTGTGTGTGTGCGTGTGCGTGTGCGTGTGCGTGTGCGTGTGCGTGTGTGTGTGTGTGTGTGTAAGTGTGTAAATGTGGAGGTGTGTAAATGTGTAAGGGTGTGAGTGTGTGTGTGTGTGGTTGTGTGTGGGTGGGTGCGTGGGGGGGGGGGTGGGCGCGGCGCGCGCGCCCGCCCGTTCGGTGATCTTCTCCGCCTCGACGCTGCGCGCGAGGCCGCCATCGCCGAAGAGCGTGTGTGTGTGTGTGTGTGTGTTCCTGAGTATTGGCCTGCGTGCTGGGCCTGTGTGTGTGTGGGCCTGCGTGCTCGTGTGTGTGTGTGTTTTTTTCATGCCAGCGCCACGCCAACTGACAGTTCGCCTGAGAGCGACCTGGCCTAGGGCATCGCGACGGTGCCTTCACCCCGCCGCTGGAGGAAGAAAGTATGCCCCAGAGTGCGTGTGCGTTCCCGTGAACCTCCGCGTAGCGTGCGCGCTTGCCGGTCCACCTTCGCGACTCGCGCAGGACACCGAGGACAAGACCGCATTCCTCCACCGCCTCTCGGCGCAGGCGGCCCTTCTGGCGGCCGCGGCGGAGAGGAAATGGAGGATAAGCGACAGTGGGAAGAGGAAAAAATTGGGGAAGGCACGGAGGAGGAGGAGGAGGAGGAGGAGGACAGGGAGGAGGACGGGGAGGAGGACAGGGAGGAGGAGAGGGAAGAGGACGAGGAGGAGACGGGAGAGGAGAAGGACCAGCGTAAACCCAAGACCCATCAACGATTTTACAATAAACCCACCCTCCAAGCGCCCTCGTCAGAAGCCCCTACAAGGATCCCTTTCCAGTCGTAGAAGTGCTGCTGGAAATCCTGAACTGCGCCTGCACTTCATTCCTTTGCAGTCAACGCCGCGTTCCAACATGATTGGTGCATCGTGACGGTCTGGAGGCGCGTCAGAACACCATTCGTGGGATTTAAACGCCGCGAATCAATATTACTGTTCCGTCCTGATAGTCATACTGCCAGCCAGTACACAGTATTTGGAATTGCAACCATGAAAATCTCCGAAACGGCTTACAGCTCTTAAGGCAAAGCGGCGGTAGGGCGAAAGCCACATTTTGAAAACGAGCCGCCACCAACCCGGTAAAATCATTGCACATGTTGAAAGCGAATGCGTGCGGTGCTAAGGCCAGAGCCACCTTTTGAAAACCACCCGCCCTCCGCCCGTGAATCTCTTGCACATGTTGCAAACGAAGGTGCCCGGCGATGACGCGAAACCCATATTGTGGAAGTGCCTCGCCCTCAGTCTGTGCAACGCTTGCTATTTTGAACGAGTGCGCGCGGCCCTGAGGCGAGCGCCACACTTTGGAAACGAGCAGCCTTCCACTAGTGATTTCTTTGTTGAGAACAGTAGGAGAACAGCAGGCAACTATGAGCGCGCTAAGGCGAACGCCACACATTGAAAAGGGCCAGCCCTCCACCCGTGAAGCTCTCGCATGTGTTCGACGCGTGCGCGCGGCGCTAGGGCGAGAGCCGAATCGCTGCCGCCCCCTGCCCTTACTGTTTGGAGGCGCCCGTGTGGCCGAACGTTGGGCCAGAGCTCGGCCAAGCCATCGGACCATGTGCTCCCCCAGCCGTCGTGAACCCCCTTCGGGAACACGTGAGGAAGGGGATAATGAGGAGAAGGAGAAAAAAGAGGAGGAGGAGGAGATGGAATAGGAGGAGGAGGAGCAGACCTCTTGGGAGTCTTTCGGGGCACTCTTGCAGATCTCCTGGGAGCTTCCTGGGAGCTTCTTGGAAGACTCCCCTTTGTTTCGCTCGAATTTGATCTCCCTCGTTTGATTTGGCTCGGTTAGTTCCGCTCGGTTGAAATTCGTTCGTGTCCACATTCGTTCGGTTTAAATTCGTTCGGGTTTGCATTCGCTCGGGTTTAATCTCGCTCGGTTAAAATTTGATGGTTTCTTTTTCGCTTGTTTAGCTTCACTCGTTTGTTTTCGATCGTTTAATTTGGCCCCCGCTCGAGACTTCCTCGCGACCCACTCACTGACGAGGCTCCCGCCTGAGAGTTTCTAAGGATTCAAGCCTGGCTGGGGAATTCACAAGTGGCGAGGTTTCGGATGGCCCGTTCGGATTTATTTCCCAATATGCAGCGCGGGCCTCAGAGGGAGGCGTTTCCCGTCTGAGGCATCCTTGCAATTCACTCACGGATGAGGTTCCCGCCTAAACCGTCTTCAAGAAGCAGGCGCGAGGGGCCCAAAAATGATAACAGTCACAAGATTTGGATGACCCGCTCGCATTACGAACATGAAATGCGGGTTCCATTAGTAGGAAACTCCCCCTTGAGATTTCCGCGCAATTTACTCACGAACCGGGCTCCCGCTTGAGGCTTCTTCAAAATTCACGCGCGAGGGGCCCAAATATGACAACAGGTACACGATTTGGATGACCTGTTCGGATTGCCAACCAGAAGTGCGGGGTCCAAAGGAGGGGGCTTCCACCTGAGACTTCCTCGCAATTCGCTCACAAACCATGTTCCCGCCGAAGGCGTCTTCAACATGTAGGCGCGAGGGGTCCAAAATATCGACATTTACAAGATTTGGATGACCCGCTCGGATTACGAACGTGAAGCGTGGGCTCCGTCGGGAGAGGGCGTCCGCCTGAGCTTCCCCGCAATCCATTTACAAACGAGGCTCCCGCCTGAGGCGTCTTCGAAGTTCCGGCGCGAGGGGCCCAAAAGCGACAGCAGTTAGAGGATTTGGATGACCCACTGCGATTGCAAACATGAAGTGCGGGCCCCATCGGGAGGGGGCCCCCGCCTGAGATGTCCTCACAATTCACTCACAGAAGAGGCTCCCGCTCAAGACTTTCTCCATATGAATGTATGAATGCGTGCCTGTGTGAATGTGTGTGTGTGTGTGTTGTGTGTGAGTGTGAATTGAGTATGGGGGTGATGTCGATGATGATTGTGATGATGACGAGTGGGTGAGTGAGTGCGTGAGGAAACGAGTGATTATGAAGATGCGTATGATGATGTTGAGTGTGAATGTGTGAACCTGTGAGTGTGTGAGTGACAAAGAGAGGGGGCGATGATGAGGAGGATGATGGTAAGGATGGTGAGGATGATGGTGATTATGATGCTGCTGGTGATGATGCTGATGCTGATGATGATGCTGCTGGTGATGATGTTGATGCTAATTATGATGATTGGTGATGGTGATGATGCTACTGCTGGTGATGATGCTGATGGTGATGATGATGAAATGATGATGATGGTGATGATGATGGTATGATGAGGTTGTTGTCGTTGATGGTGATGATGATGGTGATGATGATGAGGATGGTGATGATGATGCTGATGATGATGATGATGCTGATGACGATGTTGATGATGCTGATGTTGATGCTGCTGCTGCTGCTGATGCTGCTGATGATGATGATGATGATGATGATGATGATGATGATGATGATGATGATGATGATGATGATGATGATGATGATGTGGGTGGGTTCCTGTTCCTGTTCCTGCGCGGAGGGGCCAGATCAAACAAGAACCCCATTTTGGATGTGGGGAAGAACCATCCTCTTCATTCCCTTCCGAAACGAGGCCGTTCGCCCGGAAGCTCGTTCGCCCAGAAGCCAGCTCGCCTGGAAAGAAAGACCCATTCGCTTGGAGACCGCTCGCCTGGAAACCTGCTCGCCAGGAGGCCCGCTCGTCCGAAGGCCTGCTCGCCTTCGGGTCGGGCGGGCGGACCCTGACGAGCGGGTCGGGTCGAGTCGGGCGGGCGGACCCTAACGGGCGGGTCGCGTCGGGCAGGCGGGACATTAAAGTATGGTGCGTCATCGAGTTCGCACGCGTGTACCCTAACGGGCTGGCGGGGTCAGACGAGCGGACCCTAACGGGCGGGTCTGATCGGGTCGGGCGGGCGAATCATTCAAATATAGTGTACAATCGAGTTGGCAGGTGTCTACTTTAACGTGCGGGACGGGTCTGGCGGGCGGACTGTAACGGGCGGGTCGGGTCGGGTCGGGCGGGCGGGCGAACCCTTCTGAGCGGGTCGGGTCGGGCGGGAAGAGCATTCAAGTATGTTGTGCAAGCCAGCTTGCACGCGCGTGCCCTGACGCGCGGGTCACGTCGAACGGGCGGACCCTAACGGGCGCGTCGGGTCGAGTCGGGCTGCCGGACCCTGACGAGCGGGACGGGTCGGGCGGGCAGAACCATAATGTATAGTGCACAATCGCGCTTGCACTCGTATGCCCAACGGGGCGGGTCGGGTCAGGCGGGCGGGTCGGGTAGGGTCGGGCGGGCGGGCTCTGAGGGCGGGTCGGTTCGAAGTGGGCGGGACGTTGTGCACGATCGAGCTGGGGGCTCAGGAGGGCGGGCAGGCAGGGAGAGGTAAAAAGGAGCAAGGAAAAAGAAATGATGCAGGCGAGAGGGCGGGAAGGAGAGAAACAAGTCAGCTTTAGGGGGGGCGTGAATTCGTGAAGGGCATCCTGATGAAGAATCGGCTGAGGAGGGAGAGAGGGAAAGAGAGAGACAGGGAGGGAGAATGGGAGGGAGGGGAGAGAAAGGGGAAAGGGATGGGGGACGAGGGGAAGGCGGGGGGAAGATGGAAGGAGGGAGGGATGGGGGAAGCAGAGTGATCGAAAGCATCCAGATGAAGGATCGGGTGAGGATGGAGGGGGGGAGAGAGAAAGGAACGAAGGAAGGGCGGGAGAGGACGGGAGGAGAACACGATGGGTGGAGGAGAGATGGCGGAAAAGAAATGGAGAAAGAGACGGGATGGAGAGGTGGAGGGAAGAGGATGCGCAAGGAGAAACGCATGAGGGACGACAACAGCGACGACGAGGACGAGCGCGAGCGACAACAACGACGACAGAGACGAGACGACGACGACAACGATCGACGACGATGACGACGACAAGAACAACGCGCCGACGAGGTACGTTTACGACGCGACGGCGACGACGTCGAGAATGACGACGACAAACGACGACGACGACAACGCGAAAAAGACGACATGAGCACAGCGCAATCCGGGAACAGAAGCCGCCTGTCGCCCGGCAGGACCTGTGATTTCCGGCCGAAAATCAACGGGGTTGACGTGAGCACAGCGCACTCCGGAAACAGAAGCTCATCGACGCCGCCAAAAGCGACGACGCCAAAAAATGCGACCGACGACAACGAGCGCGAGACAACGACGACGAGTACAAACGACAACGATAACACTGCGACGACAAGGAACGTGGACGACGCTACGACGACGACGACGACGACGACGGCGAGGCAACGACAACAAACGACAATTACTACGTCCACGCGAGGACGACGCATCAAACATTGCTGACGACAACAACGAGCGCGAGACGACGACGCGGACGAACGAAAACGATAACAACGACAACGAGAACTGAAAAATACGACAATGAGCGTGGACGACGCGACGACGATGACGGCGAGGAATCGACTACCAACGAGAACGACTATAACAACGCGAGAACGACGGATCGGAGACCTAAGAGGACACCATCTAACACAGCGGCCTCCGAACCGAACGCACACGTTGACGACGAGGACGAACTACGACCATGACGTCGACGGCGACAGACAACTACAACGAAGACGCGGGACCGCCAAAAGTCTGGCCCCTGGGCCTGCTAGCCCGGGAAACGAAACCGTTCTTTCCACAAAGACGGGGGAGGGATAGGGGAAGCAGAGTGATCGAAAGCATTCCGATGAAGGATCGGGCGAGGATGGAGGGGAGAGGGAGAAAGGAAAGAAGGGAGGGAGGGAGAGGACGGGAGGAAAACACGATGGGTGGAGGAGAGATGGCGGAAGAGAGATAGAGAAAGAGGAGGGATGGAGGGGAGGAGGGAAGAGGATGCGGAAGGAGAAACGCATGAGGGACGACAACAGCGACGACGAGGATGAGTGCGAAGGACGACGACGACAACGATCGACGACGATGACGACGACAAGAACAACGCGCCGACGAGGTACGTTTACGACGCAACGGCGACGACGTCGAGGATATCGACGACAAACGACGACGACAACGCGAAAAAGACGACATGAGCACAGCGCAATCTGGAAACAGAAGCCGCATGCCGCCTGGCAGGACCTGTGATTTCCGGCCGAAAATCAAGGGGGGCGACGTGAGCACAGCGCACTCCGGAAACAGAAGCTCATCGACGACACGAAAGGCGACGACGCCAAAAAATGCGACCGACGACAACGAGCGCGAGACGACGACGAGGACGAACGGCAACGATAACAACGACGACGAGAACTACAACGCGACGACAATGAACGCGGACAACGCGGACGACGCGACGACGACGACGGCGAGGCAACGACAACAAACGACAATGACTACGTCAGCGCGAGGACGTCGCATCGAAGCCTGAGAGGACACCGTCTAACATAGCGGCCTCGGAAGCGAACGCACAAGTTGACGACGAGGACGATCTACGACCATGACGTCGACGACGAGAAGAACAGCACGCCGACTATGAACGTTGACGGGGAGACAGCGACGACGCTGAGAACGACACAAACAAACGACGACGGCAACTACAACGCGAGGACGGAAACGAAGACGACGAGCAATCGAACACGACGAGAACAACGAGTAAGGAGGACGACGAGGACTCTGAGCGTCCTGGGGCGGGCCCTCCAAAAGTCTGGCCCCTGTTCCCGCTAGCCCGGGACACGAAACCGCTTTCTCCCTACAGTGCCACCATGGGAGACCGGCGCGGCAGTTCGCGGAAACCCTCCGGGATTTGTCCTGAGGAAGGTTTTTCCGAAAGTTTTTGAAAGGTTTCTCCCAGGCTCCAGGGGGAGCAGGGAAGGGACGAGGAAGGCAGTTGGAAGATTGTATCCGAAATCTTCCAAAACATGTTCCAAAACACCGACCGAAAACCTTCCAAAAGACTTCCAAAACCTTCCACAATCTGCCAACATCCTTCCAAAACCATTCCGAACTTGACCGAGATCGCCCAACACATTCCAAAAACCTTTCATAAAGCTTCCAATAACCTTGGGGAAAAACTTCATAGTACTTTCCAAGAGACTTCCAGCAACCCACAAACATCCTTCCAACAAGTTTGCACGAACCTTTCCAAAAACATTTCAACTGACCTTCCGAAAAACCTTTCAAAAACCAAAAACTGCCACCCAGGATTTCAGGATTTCAGTACGATCGAGCTTCAATTCGCTCGGAGAGAAACTTGCTATGATTTAATTCGTTCGGTATAGATTTGCTCGGTTTAAATCAGCTCGGTTTAATTTGGCTCGGTTTCATTTCGCTCGGTTTAAAGTCGCTCGGTCAAAATCCGCTCGGTTCCAATTCGCTCGGCGTATGTCCGTTCCGGTTTAGAGTTGCTCCGTCTTAATTTCGCTCGGGAATAAGTTCTCTCGGTTTTAATTCACTCGGTTTGAACTCGCTCGGGTTTACATTCGCTCGGTTTAGACTCGCTCGGCTGCACCAGCGCAACCAGAGCAACAAAACGAGACGAGACCGAGCGAAACGAAACCGAGCGAACAAAACACCGAGGGAACAACAAGCGAGCGACACGAAACCGAGCGAAAACAAGCTCGAGCGAAACAAATAAACTCGAGCGACAAAACGCGAGCGAAAAAAAACGAGCGAAACAAAACGCCACCCTCTTGGAGGCCTCTTGGGGGTCTCCTCCAGCCTTTTGGGGACCTTATGGAGCTTGTTCGGGGCTTCTTTGGCCGTCTCAGGGCGTTTCTGGGCCGTTTGGTGCCATCGGGGGCCTTGGTGGCGTCTCTGGCCCGTCCTGGGGCCCTCTTGGGGTGCTTCAGGGCCGTCTTGGAGGCCATCTTGGCCGTCATGGAGTCCTCTTGGGCCTTCTTGGGCCCCCCCTCTGGGCCGTCTTGAGGGCTTTAGGGCCGTCCGGGGGCTATGTTGGAGGCCTCTTGGGCGCTCTGGGGGTCATCTTGGGGGCCTCTTGGGCCGTTCTGGTCCGTCGGAAGGCCGAAAAGAAGCAAATACCAAACTTCTTCAAAAACCTCACGCCAATCAACGATGATGGCCTCCTCGGGCCCTCCTGGAGGACCAATTGGAAGCCTCTTGGGCCGTCTTGGAGGCCTCTTGGGCCGTCTTGAAGGCATTTGGGGGCGCCGTCTTGGAGGCCTCTTGGGCAGACTTGGAGGCATCTTGGACCCTCTCGTGCCGTTTTGGGGCGCCGTGGAGGCTTCTTGGGCGGACTTGGAGGCATCTTTCCGCCCCTTGGGCCGTCTGGTTGGCCATTTTGGAGCCTCTTGGAGGCCTCTTGCGCCCCAAGAGGGTCAATAAACAACAACACAAATATTTGGGGCCTCTTGGGCTGTCATGAGGTCATCGTGGAGGCCGTCGAAGCCATCTTGGCGGGATTTTGGGAGCCCGTTGGGCCGTCTTGGGCCGTCGGAAGGCAGAAAAAAAAGGAAATGCGAACATCTTTGAAAGAACGTAAAAGAAATGGCTTTGGCCTCTTCGGGCCCTCCTGGGGACTTCTTTACTTCTTTCTGGCCTCTTGGGCCGTATTGAAGGCTTCTTAGGGGCTTCTTGGGTCGTCTTTGAGCCTTCTTGGGCAGTATTGGAAGCATCTTGGGCCCTCTTGGGCGGTCTTATTGGCCATCTTGGATCATCTGGGGCCGTCTAGGAGGCGATCTTGGACCATATTGGACGACCCTGGCCTCGTGGCCGCCTTGGGGGCATCTTGAGCCGTCATGAGGTTATCGTTGAAGGCCTTTTGGGCCATCTCGGGATGATCGTGGGGGCCTCTTGGGCCGTCTTGGGCTGCCGGAAGGCCGAACAGAAGCAACTGCGAACATCTTACAAACACGAAAGAATAACCAATGATTTTTGGCTTCTTGGGGCCCTCCTGGAAGACGTCTTGGGGACGTCTTGGGGGCCTATATTGCCGTCTTGGCCATCTTGGAGGCTACCTGGGCGGACTTGGGAGCATCTTGGAGCCATCTTGGGCCGTCTTGGTGGCTTCTTCGGTGAACTTGGAGGCAACTTGGACCATCTTGGGCCATCACGGAGGCCATCCTGGGCCAATTTGACCATCCCAGAAGCCAGATTGAGCCGTCTTGGAGGTGATGTTGTGGACTGTGTGCTCGTTTGCGGGCCTCTCGGGTGGCCAGCGGCCGTTCCTAGAAGGCCCGAATAGGCCGAAATCGATACACAACATGATGTGAGTCGGCGTGGATTTCAAGCGGCAAGTGCTTGCATTCTGGAGGTAATACATACGTGGTGCAAGCTATGTGATGTAATATCTGTTTGGTAAGCTTTGCGGTGCGAGCCGCGTGGTGCAAGCTAAATTGTGTATGCTATGGTCTGGCGTAGGCTAGGTTGTGCAAGCTATGTGGTGCGAACTACACGGTGTGAGCTGTGCTATTTAAGCTTCGTGGTGTGTGTTCGATTGTGTAAAACCGTGTGGGATGATCTATCTGGTGTGATCAATGCGATGAAAGCTGGCCTTGCTGTGAGCAAGATTGCGGGCGTGAGCTCTAACCAGCGCAAGCCATGTGTGTGGGCAATGTTGTGCGAGCTGTGCGGCTTGAGCTACGCAGCGCGAGCTGTGCATTGCGGCTACGTGGTGCACGCTGGTGTGACGCAGGCTATGCTGTGCAAGCTATGCGGTGCAAGCGCACGGGGCGCCCACGGGGCGACTGGGCGCGGGCAATGGGCGCCAACGCGGCGACCTCTGGAGACCAACCCAGCGCACGGGGCGCCCACGAGGCGACCAGGAGCTTGCACGAGCGCCAGCGAGGCGACAGCTTGAGGGAGCCCACCCAGCGCACGGGACGCTCACGAGGCGCCCAGGAGCCGGCGCGGGCGCCAACGCGGCAGAAGCCAAGGAAACCCATCACATTTCAGAACGCCAGGGAAGGACCCTTGTGTGCAGGCGCTGCCTCGGGGGCAAAACAAATGTACGAAACGACGCATCGTCGGAGATCTGGGACGCCCCGCCGTTGTGTCGACGTGGTCCTCCTCGGAAGGGCACGGGCGCCAACGAGGCGAAAACCAAAGAAACCCATCACATGACCTCAGAACGACAGGGAAGAACCCCATAAAGTGCAAGCGCTGCCGGGGGGGGGGCAAAACACCGCGTGGAACGACGCCTCGTCGGTGACCTGGGGCGCCCCGCCGTTGTGTGTTGGCGCGGTCCTCCGAGGCTGCCTGGGCCGCTGCCGGGGGGGGGGGGAGGGGCTGCGGGCCACCGCCCGCAGGCCAAGGGCTACAACGCCGCGCCGCACGCGGAGACGGTGGTGCGGCGGGGCGCGGGTGGCGCCCGCGCGCTGCCGCGCCAGGGCGCAGGCGCGGCCAGAGGGTGGAGGAGGGAGGGGAAGCGGAGGAGGGGCGGGGGGGGGAGGGGTCATCCCTCGTGCCCCTCCTCCGTGCTCTCTCCTTCCCCTCCTCCGTCCTCCTTCCTTCCTTCCTCCGTCTTCTTCCGTTGTTCCTTCCGTCCTGTTTTCCCTCTTGCGTCTTCCCTCCTCTCCTCTCCATCATGGAGGGGAGGGGAATGATGAGGAGGGGGGGAGGGAGGCGGTGTGGAAGATGGCGGGGGAAGAGGAAGAGGCAGGAGGAGAAGCAGGGTTGGAGGACGATGGTGGAGGAGAGGGGAGAGGGACAGAGGGAGGGATGGAGGGGGAGGTGCAGGAAAAGGAGGAGCAGTTACAGGAGAAGGAGGAGGAGGAGCAGGAGAAGGAGGAGGAGGAGCAGGATGGCCCAGAAGGGGAACGATTTGAAGGAGCCGCAGCAGCAGCTAGGTGCGGAAGGGAGGTCGACAAAGAGCGAGGAGGAGCCGCAGAACGACGGACGAGGCAGGGTGAGGGGGACAAAAAGAGTGAGACGGAGGGCGGGAGGTTCTTGAAGCCCTCCTGGGGCGTCTTGGGGGCCTCTTGGGCCGTCCGCGGGCCATCTTGGGCGCCTTGGAGCGCTACTTGGGCGACTCGGCGCCATCTTGAACCGTCTTGGGAGCTTCCTCCTCCTCCTCCTCCTCTTCTCCTCCTGTCCTCGATCCTCGGACCTCGAGCCTGGGGCCTCGAAGCTCGATCATCCTCCTGCTTGGCCCGTGATACGGCGGGCGCCAGGAGGGTGGACGGGGGAATGCGCCCTTGCGGGAGGCGGCCTCCCGCCCCCCCGCGCGCCCGAGGCCGCGGCAGGGCCCACGTGCGCTTCGAGGCGGGCGGCACCCCCAGCAGCACGGTGAGCAGCAGCCAGGGTCCGGCATTCGGCGCGCAGGATGGTCACCCTCCCCGGTCTCGCACCTCTTGCCGGCTAGGAGAGTCACGTTTCGGAAAAGACAAAGGCGGGTGAGGAGGAGGAGGAGTGCGCCGGGCCCTCCTGGCGGCGCCTCGGGCGCCGCCCCTGGCACGCTCCGCGCGCCAGGGAGGGGGTCTAGCGCACCTTCAAGAACTTTCGCGCGGAGCGCAGAAAGTTCATGTGTATCTCGTTTTCTCTTCCCTTGACGTTCCTTTCCTCCCCGCCCTCCCTCCTCCTCCTCCGGAGAAGCACGTTGCTTCGAGTGGCACATACGGGACGCGAGGCGCGGTGCCTGGAGAGCACCAGCACACCGGGCCCGGCGGCCGTGGGGGGCAGTCGACAGTCGTCGCAGGCACGAGGTTTTGGACACCGAGGGAGCACCCGCACGCCTCGGGCCCGGCGGCCGCAGTATTCGGGGGCGGGCCAAGAGGGGGGGGGTGGACTAAGTCGGGCTAGTCCCTCTTCAAGGAGACGATTCAAGCATGGTCAAAACATACCCCAGTGCGACCCGACCTAGAAGTTGGAGACCCTAGGAAAGCAGCATTAGTTGCTATGCCATGCTATGCGGGGCTATACTATGCTTTGCTATGTTACGTTATGCTGCGCTATGATATGCTATGATATGCTGTGATAAGCTATGCTATGTCATGTTGCGCGGTGCTATGCTGCGCTATGCGATGCCATACTATGCAATGTTAAGGTATGACATGCTATGATATGTTATGTTTTCTGCGCTATGATAGTCTATGATATGTTATGATAAGCTATGCTATGCCATGCTGCGCGGTGATATGTTGCGCTATGATATGCTATGGTATGCTAAGCTTCGCTATGCTATGTTATGCTATACTAGACTACGCTATGGTATACCATGCTATGCAATGCTATGCTGCGCTATGCTGTGTTATGCTGGGTTGTGTTATGATATGCTGTGCTGCGCTGTGCTCTGCTACGCTCTGCTATGCTATGCTGGGCTCTACTAGTCTAAAACTCAGCGAAGCTAAGGTGACGGTAAGCTAAGCTAGGATAAGCCTGATCTAAGATGAAGCGAAGCTACGCTAAGATGAAATAGGCTAAGCTAAGGTGAGCCAAGCAACGCGAAGCTAAGGGAACGCCACTGGGGGAACCGCAGGGCGGATGCTGGGGGAACCGCCCGGGGCGGGTTACACTGCCTGGCCTTTTAAGCTTACCAAGTAAGAACCCTTCTAGGCAGAGCCTAGGTAGGGAATTGTGAGGGAATTTTGTGTTTGACGATTTTTGAACTTTTTTGGTGCATTGTTTTGGTATTTTCATTTTTTCGTCGAAAATCGCCCTGTAGGGGGACAGGCCCGACTTAAGATTCTATAGGCTTACGCCACATCCGCCGACCCCTATATCAATTACTGCGTCTCCAGGACTGCATTTCACGAGGCTTATTCGAATCATGCCACGGCGCTCGACATCGTTCCTGTTGCTTCGTTGTTGTTATCGTATTTGTTGGTGCTCTTTTGCGGCCTTTTGGTGGCATCTTGGCCTGTATGCAGGCCATATCCGGCCGCTTCGAGGCATCTTGGGCCAAGTTTTGGGGCCTCGGGCTTCCCGAGGGCTGGGGTACCACGAGAAGGAGTGCGCAAGCTTGCCCGGGTGGCTGCCGCTGACCAAGGGGATGCCCGTAGCGTTGGGGAATCACTTGGATCGGTCAACGAAGCAGCTTCTGTGGGGGCGCAGTGCGACGATCCATGGATGGGTGTTGCACGAGGACGAGGTCGTTGGAGATGAAGACGAGGAAGAGTTGTTGCATCTACTGGGAATGATTGTGTTGGCTTTACATACGAAGGAGTGGCACCTGCCAGGGTGGGAGCCGGGGTTGTATCCGATCTTCCCATCAGAAGGGCGGCAATGGTTCTTGGACGGGTCTCGTAAGCATCCAGTATTGAGTGTCAAGCGAACGCAGTTTATGACAACCCCGTCGTTGGCAGCGACGGCGCACTCAGCGCAGGGCCCGACCATGGGGGCAGTGATAGCGGACCTGGAAAGAGGGCGCGGCGTGAGTTGGACGTCAAGTTACGTGGCCATCACGCGCGTGCGCAGGCGAGAGAACCTGCTGATCTTCAGGCCTTTTGATCGGAAGCCGTACAACGCAGGTGAGATGGCGGGCGCGAAAAAAATATTGCAGGTGCTACGAGGGGAGAGCGTGGATTGGGATGAATGGGAAGCGGAACTAATGCCACGAAACCCAGTGCGAGCGCTGCCGCCGGAAGTTGCTTGTGGAGGCGTTCGCGAAGTACGAATTCCACAGGAAGGAAAGGCCAGAGTTCTGGAAAAAAACATGCACGGAAGAGATGAAAAAAACGCCAGCGAAAAATGGCGCACAACGTGCAAAGGGTGGGCAACGAGAGCGGAGGGGGAAGATTCGGCGCGGCATGGTAGCGGTCGGGGCGCGGACGCAGCGGCCGGCGACGAGGGGACGAAAAGGATTCGAACATTGTACTGCGCGAAGTGCAGTCATGTCGCAGCCATGAAGAACTCGCGGAGCGGCAGCGCGAAGTGGAGCGACAGCGTCGGCATTGTGCAATGTTCAAACGAGAAGTGCCTGTCGCTGTACGAGGAGAAGGCGGACATGTCGGATGCACGGAAGAAGCACCACGCAGCGGGGGTGAGGCTGTGTAGGAAATGCGCAGAGGAACGCGACAAGGTGACGCGCAACTCGAATAATAGGAAGCGTAAAGAAGAGGCGGTGGCGAAGCCGCTGACGTGCTGCGCGCCAGGATGCGGGGTGAGTTTCTGGGAGACGGGACATTTGAATCGCAACCAGGTGGAGGACCACAGGGCGAAGAAAGGGGCGAGAGTGGTGCGCGGGGACTGCAGTAAGTCGACATAACCGCGAAAGGGGTCGTCGATGAGTCGAAGCGGTTGACGCGGCTGCTGACGCGTGCGGCGTGCAAGAAAGAGTTCGCTCGGCAGCAACACATCAGCGACGATCAAGAGAGCAAGCACTTCACGAGGAAAGGAAGAGTAAAATTGCACTGGCAGGTTGCATTGCCAACGGGCTCACGGTGCGCAGTTGGCAAGCCTTTGAGTGCAGTGGCAAGTGCCAGAGGAACTTGTCGAAGTCGGCTTGTTCCGTGGACGCGAGCCATGTTGCGCGCGACGAGAAGAAGGGCACCTTGAAATGCATGGCATGCAAATGATACCAGTAGGGCGCCCGCGCCATGGCCAGTAGAAGTAGGAGCAGCGGGGGCCCGAGCGAGAGGGAGGACGAGGCCGATGACAAGAGGAACGCAAATAAGGTGAAAGCAGAGGAGGAGGCGGAGGAGAAGGAGGAGGAGGAGGAGGAAGAGGGAGCAGCTGAAGGAGCAAGGGGGAATATGGGGGAGAGGCGGAAGGGGGGGTCAGGCTGCAAGTGCCAGAGGAAATTGCCGAAGTCGGCTTTCTCCGTGGACGAGTGCCATGTCGCGCGTGACGAGAAGAAGGGCACCTTGAAATGCACGGCATGCGAATGATACCAGTAGGGCGCCCGTGCCATGGCCAGTAGAAGTCGGGGCAGTGGGGGTCCGAGCGAGAGGGAGGACGAGGCCGATGAAAAGAGGAACGCGAAGAATGTGAATACAAAGGAGGAGGAGGAGGAGGAGGAGGAGGAGGAGGAGGAGGAGGAGGAGGAGGAGGAGGGGGAGGAGGAGGGGGAGGAGGAGGCAGGAGGGGGAGGAGCAGGGGGAATATGGGGGAGAGGCGGAATGGGGGGGTCAGGCTTTTCGCGAGGCTCGCGGAGGCAATCTCGAGGCCTCTGGAGGCCGTGTTGGGGCCTCTTGGAACCTCTTTTGAGTTTTTTTTGGGGGCCTCTTGGGGCCTTGTGGGCGCCTCTTGGGGGCCTCTTGGGGCCTTTTTGGGATCCTCTTGGGGGCCTCCTGGGGGCTTCGTGGGGCATCCTGGGACATTGTCGGGGCGAATGGTTCGGATTTCCGTTTCGTGGTCCCCCTCTTGGGGCCGTCTTGGGGCCCTCTTGGACCGACTTGGGCGCCTCTTGGGCCGTTTTGGCGCCCTCTTGGGCCGTTTTGGGAACCTCTGGGGAGCTTCTTGGGCCGTCTTGGGGCGGTCTTGGGGGTTTCTGAAAAGCCATATATGTTAAACATATACGTTTCCCAACAGGAAATCGATGATTGTGGCCTCTTGGGGCCCTCTTGGGACGCCTCTTGGGGCCTCTTGGAGGCGTCTGGGAGCGTCTTGGAGGCATCTTGGGCCGTCTGGATGTCATCTTGGACGTCTTGGCTCGATCTTTCGGCGACTCGTGGGTCTTTTGGGCCGTCTGAGAGGCGTCAAAGTGCCCTTTTGGCCCGTTTTGGGGCCCTCTGCTCCGCCATGGCGCGCTCTGTCCGGGGCCGTCGGGGGCCGAATCTCCGGTTTGGGGCCCCTGTGGGGGTTATGGGGGGGGAACTATCTCACACGCCTGGAGACCCACAAGGGGTCGGCGGATTAGGAGGGGGGGGTTTCATGGCGGGGGCCATCTGGTCTCCCCAAAATTCATGGCGCATTTTCTTATTTCAATGCGTCCCCGGTCCCCCCCTTGGCCGCGCTCGTGCCTCCGGCCATGGTTTGCGCCCTCCCCCTCTTGAGCGCCCCCTTCTGGGCCGCCCCCGAGGTATGCAGGGTTTGCGAGGCGGGTCGGGAGCCTTTTCCCTACTGTCGGCGGCAAACTAGCGGGGAAGTGAGAAGAAGGCCCTGTCAGAGGGCGGTGGGATTTCTCGGAAACCCTCGTGCCTTCCGAGAAGTTGTCGGTGCGTTCGGGGAAGGCTTCGAAAACCTTTCAGAAAGCCAGAGGACTTCCGAGCCTGCTGAGAAAGCCTTTCCCTTTTCACTTTTCCCGTTTTTTCGCTGCCGATTTACCTGTCAGGGTCTTTGCCATGTCTGGTGTGGAATACCATGTCGGAGGTTTGCGTGAGTTTCATGGATCTGCGTTGGGCTCCCACCCTGGCGCGCGGAGCACGCTAGGGGCGGCACCAGAG